TTTAAAATTAACATTTGTGGGCCAGGTGTGGTGGTTCACACCTGTAATCCCATCACTTTGGGAGGCTGAGGTGGGCGGATCACCTGAGACAGTTCAGCCTGGCCAACATGACGAAACCCCATCTCTACTAAAAAAATACAAAAACTAGCCTGGCTTGGTCCCAGCTACTTGGGTGACTGTGAGGCAAAAGAGTCACTTGAACTCGGGAGGCAGAGGTTTCAGTGAGCCAAGATAGCACCACTGCACTCCAGCCTGGGTGACAGAGCAAGACTCCGTCCAAAAAAAAAAAAAAAATTAACATTTGTGGCTGATTCTTTTTTCTAGCTCCTTGGTGGTCTTGTTAAGATTATTAACGAAAATCTATTGTACAGAGACTTGTGGAGATTGAATCATTTACTCAGAAAAATATGGTGAGTGAATATATTCTAAACACATCTGAGTTGGTGTCATGCCATGTCTAGATTTGAGATGCCCTACAAAGGCCAAGGAAAAGGTGAATTCTGGAGTCCTAAAGTAACCAGTGCCTTAGACACAAAAGGGAATGTGCGCCATGCTTGTTATGGAAAACCGGAAGGGCAAAGACAAGGCAAATATTCTTTAAAGCAGGTTGGTTTGGCAGAAGGAAAAATTCGTTACGTTTTTATCTTTTAGTGCACACAAAGGAACAGCAGTAAATGACACAATGGTAGTGTGTTGGTGTTGTCATTAACACACATGGGAACATGTACTCATGCACACACGGAAGCCACACAACTCATATATTTTACTGTGGCTTAGATGGGCTTTTTTTTTTATTAGCAACTAGGAAATAGAGTTTACCGAAGGGAACCTAGCATGGGAAAAAGTAAGACTCGCTGGCTATGCTGTTGTTCAGAGAGAAGAGGAAATGGAAATTATTTGTCACAGAAAATCTAAAATTTCCTGAAGTATCAATAGAAGCTAATCCTTCTACTTATATGGAATTAAATAAAAAAGAAAAAACTGGTTGTCTAGTAAATTATTTTGTAATTTGTGACTGTGACTTTTTAAGATTAAACAGATTTCTACTTAGATACTAAGATTAATGTGTTGTACATAGCAGAAAAGGTCTGGAATTTTTGCAGGCAATTTTAATTAGTGAATGAAAATAACCACTAAATCTGAATAATAAGGAGGGTCATCAGTTATTTTTCTAGAAGACTCTCTAATAAAAAATATTCACCATTTCCAAGTTTTATTTTTATTAAGTAGTGACTGAAGAACTATATATATTGATCTATGTCTCTACTATTCTGTATTTTTATATGTCTTCAATTATTAAAATAAATTGAATACAATTTTTTGGGTCCCCACATTTTGATTCTGACAAAAGAAACTGACATGTTTAGTGTATTGATCCATAATGTTTTTAAAGTCTTGGCAACAACGATTCATGGTAATTTATCTATTTTATTTATTATTTACTTACTTACTTATTTATTTTTGAGATGGAGTCTTGCCCTGTCGCCCAGGCTGGAGTACAGTGGTGCTATCTCGGCTCACTGCAACCTCCGCCTCCCAGGTTCAAACAATTCTCCTGCCTCAGCCTCTCGAGTAGCTGGGATTACAGGTCCCCACCACCACACCCAGCTAATTTTTGTATGTTTAGTAGAGATGGGGTTTCATCATGTTGGCCAGGCTGGTCTCGAACTCCTGATCTCGTGATCCACCCACCTAGGCCTCCCAAAGTGCTGGGATTACAGGTGTGAGCCACCGCATCTGGCCAGTAATTGATTTAAATGATCATGCTAGGGTATTTGTTAGTGCCAGGTATATGTTTTCAAATTAGTAAAGCACTTTGGATGTTTCATCTTTGCAAAATTACAAGTTAAACTTTATAATATTACTCGTTCCTTGTGGAACCAAAATTTAGTATTGCCATACAACCTATTTTCAATTTTCTTTCGGTTTCCCCAGAACCTTAACTGTTTTGACCTGAATAATTTTTTGACAGGAACCTGAATACTAAGGTACTCACTGTGGGCAAAATTTTCCTGAGATGCCCAAACTGACTATTGTTGAAGTTATGAGTGTAAAGCGCCTACATCTTCCCATAATGTGTGGCATTTGGGTTAGTTTATATTTTCTTCTTAAAATTACAAAACTGAGTTTTATTTAATTCATCTTATTCAAAAAAAACTGGCAGCAAACGTAGGAAATCTTTGATATTGGGCACGCATTCATTCAGCGACCAACCTTGACTATCTTTCCTTTCATCAGTAATCATCGTGGGTACTTTATCTCTGCATTTCCTGACTCAAACCTGACAACATCTCCAATTCATGGTTACGCTAATATCGTCTGCAAATATCAGGTAATTAGTTCCACCTTCTAGAGTCGCTGAGTCACAATACTGTAGTCAGACTTTTTTCGCTTTACCACATAACGGAAATAGACAAATCATTTCAGCACCCCTACCTGAAACTGCCTCTGCGTAAGCTGAATGTAGGTCACAACTGATAGGTCTGTGATGAGAGGCCACGATTCAGGGTACCCTGTCACCTGCTTGTTAGATTTAACCTTAGCCTCTCTAAAACAAGGCTTTTTTTCTTGTTGTTTTAATGAAAATTTGCCAACATAATAAAACTAAACATTTTGAAGTAACATTTAAATAGTATATATGAAAACTTTACAGACCTTATGCCATTTAATCTGAAAACTAAATTGGTGAGTTATCCCCATCTGCCAGATGAGGAATACAAGCTCAAAATTCAATTGGCTTGCTCAAGGTGGAGTTAGGATTAGAACATAGGCTACTACAACCCCAAAGCCAGTTGTTCCCAAACTACCTATGAGAATCGTCTGGAAGATGACACATATAGATTCCTAGGCCATCTCTGCATAGTCTCCCTCTGTAAGTCTATTGTTATTTGTGGCTCGTTTTTATTTTCTAGATGGACTTCAGCCAAGGAAAGAAACTAAACCAAACCATTTTTATAAGCCAAGGAATGTGTAAGTGGTATAATAAATATTAAAGCCGTTTATCTTGAGCTGTTTTTCTGAAGTAGATTGTTTTGTCAGGCAAGTGATATGGAAAGAATAGAAGAGACTAAGGTAGTAACTAGTGGTGGGCTTGTAAACCACCTCGCAGTAAATGGGAGAAGCCCTAATTCATGGCATCGGTTGATTTCAGTGGTGTAAATGCTCCCACCATGGCCAATTTCAAACTAGTGATAACTTTAACAACTTGCTCACAACATTCTTGAAAATTTAATGATTGGCCATGAGTCAGCTCCAGCATAATACTGGCATGTAGACTGTAAAGGGGAGAAACTGAACAATTTCCCAGCATTATCTAAATTGTCCATTACGTGGTTTGAATTGGTGTAAACTCCCCAAACATTACCCTACCTGTTGGCCTCATGCTCTGATTTCCAAAGGTGGCTTAGTGTCCCCCAAGTCCTCATTTCTCAATTTCCAGATATGCTTTATATGGATATAGGGCAGAATGAAACCACGGATGGAGACTAGCGGGTAGAGCACTTCGTAGAAGAGAAATGGATGCCATCTTTAAGATGACTGTTCCTTTGCTCTTACCTGCCACGTGGCAGGAGTCGCAGGATGGGGAGCTGCCTCCTGTATGAGAGCTGTAGGGTGGGAATGAAACATGACATAGGATTTAAAGAAGCTTGGCTCTAAGCCTGAGAGCAAAGGGCTGGGTCTTTCTGTGCCTCCACTTGCCATGGTAGAAAGACACATATGGTTAGATTGCAGAGTCAACATTAGCAAGAAAGTTCATCAGCACGGAGCTGAAGAGATCAGTAGCCTGCTTTTAGTCCGTGAGTTAAGCTCATGGGGCAAGTTGGCTTCTCAGAGACCCCATGTGACCAGACCCATTGGTGCACAACCCTAGCTAGTCCAATGACACAGACTGTTGTTTGGCCTGGAGTAGTCTCTGTCAGCAGAATCACCTTGGGAAACTGAGTGATGGTGGTTTGACAGACTGGGCTCTGAGCACCCTAACATGACTACCACCATCAGATGTAAAAGTAACAAAAACATATTCCAAAACCATTCTGGGATCATCTACCACTTTACATTATTTGTTCCTTTGGTAAACTTCTAGAAGTCAGGATATTTTCTGGATGTCTGATATGTGCATGCACAATTATAACAAAAATATATAATCCATCCTTGAGCTCCCTAAGTAGCCAACCTCACCGCTGCTCTACATAAGAACAAGCTTGTTTTGAATATTAATTTGCTTTCATTCTGGTTGAATCCATTTGTACAAAAATTCAATGCTCACATACTCTCTTTCCCGACTAAAAAGGTAGACATTTATCTTCCAAGAAGGCAAAGTGGAAAATTAACTCACAAATGAATCAACCAGAGAGAGAATTGAATCACAGAGGGACTTGCAATTTTAGCATACACACTTCAAAGGAGTTAGTGTGGGTGGATTTCGAGTAAGGAGACCTAGATTTAATTCACCAGCCTTGAGATCTTGGGCCAGTTATTTCAGCTAAGTCTGTTTTCCCATCTGTAAAATGAGGATATTTATACTAAATCTCTTGGCAACATTTCCTCCTATGTACCAAGCATATTTATCATGTTATTTATCCTTAATCGTCAAAACCATCCTTCAAGGGTTAACTTGAAGTTCAGAATTCCATGGGGATCTAGAGATGAGACCAGAAGTTAACGTGCGAAACCTCCCATGTATGTGTTTTGGTGCATTTTTACAAGGGCTCTCAAACATGGATACACTGAGAATCTCAACACCTGGGGTGAAGACCGGGAGGCGCAGGGAAAAGAGCAGGTAGGTGTATGCACTTTAGAAAAACTTCCCATTGCAGTTCTGCGGTTGGCTCCCCAGTGTGGCTTGTGAGATATTAATTTAGACAAAAAGATCAAGCTACCAGTTTATATTTATTTGGGTATATACTGTATACTCAAAGCAGCAGTTATATTCAAGGTGAATAAAAATTGAATTACCTGGATATTCTGCAGAGAAATAAAAGCACATATCTACACAAAGATTTGCACACCAATACTGATAGCAGTTTTATTCATTACAATCCCAAACGGAAAACAACCCCAAAGTCCACCAGCAAGTGAATAAATTAAGAGGCAACATGCACACCAAAACATGGATGACTCTCAAAAATATTATGCTGAATAAAAGTCAGGCATAAAGGATGGCTCCATTTATATAAAATTCCTGTAAACTAATTTATACCAACGGAAAGCAGATTATTGGTTGTCTTGGGGACCAGGGGTAGAAGGACAGACTGACTGCAAAAGAACATGAAGAAACTTTTGGGGTGATGGAAATATAATGTATCATGATTGTGTTAGTTTCACAGATGTGTACATCTATTCAAACTCATTAAGCTCTAATTTTTAACAATTGCAGTTATTATAAAGTATGCCTTAATAAAACTAATAAAAATTTGAATTAGCAATCCCAGCTCCTGAATACTAGCAAATCTCAAGAGGCAGTTATCATGTAACAAAGACTACTCACCAACTCAAATGCATGTCTTCTGAGTTGCCCTTAGTGTAAGCAATAAAACTCTACTGGGCCCTCAACACTGTTCTCTCCCCTGGGCCACTGAATAGGGTTTTTAACAGAAGCAATCAATAACTGCAGAGCTAAATTGTTGCATGGAGACTGGGGTCATGACCTTGTCCCCATGAGAACTATATCCTAATCCATCTAACACCTGATAGATCAAGTTCATGTGGTTTGATCACTCTAATGGGTGTACCCAGATTTTACGTCTATAGCTTAGATAAAATAGACTGAGTTACGCAAAATCCCCTGCAAGCTAGCTCTAATTTCGAACTTATTTACCATATATCAGTGGTCAGCCATTGAAAACTCTGTCCTAACCAACTAGACTAATCAACCTTTGAGGAAGAGGACAATGATATATCTATCGTCTAGAGAGATAAGTTCCAAACCTATTTTACAATTAACATGCCTCAGTGCACATATGTATAGAAGCCAATTTGTGATCTAAAGTCCAGTTATACTCTAATTTCAAACTTTTATTTTCGTATTTAATGCCTTAGTAGCCTTTAATGAACAAACTAGTTTAAAGGTCAGTGGAAGATAGGCAAATATTTGTATGCCTACAGTTCTTTAAAACCTCATGATAATGTAGGATCTTTAACAAACTTATTGTGAACCAATGATTTGCAAATGCACTTTTGACCAAATTATCACTTTAGAAGAGATTGTTCACTTGTTTTCTAATCAATAAGCATGAATATTCTGTATATTTTAGCTTCAGTACTTTCTATGTATTATGTAAAAATTTTACGTAACGTAGTTGTAAAATCCGTATTTTTAGAAACTTAAATTTATCATGATTTGCAAGATAAACAGTAAGACAACAGAACATGTCCTGTGAGTGAAGAAATACAGTAAAAAAGTTTTGTGTTAAATTTCTGTAAATGAGTCTGCCTTGGAAATTCTTTGTCCTACATTTGTGTGAAAATATCATAGACTTGGCTCCATTCCATTCTGACAGCTGCAAAACAAGTATATCTTTTCATTAACCTGTTATGAGTAGAATTCTTCTAAAAGATAATTATTTGTTCCATGTAATAACTTTCTGGAGAAGCCAAACACACTTGATCAATTTTTATTTCAAAATGTCTTCCGAGTTTTAATTCTCCATTATACAGGTAATTTTTCAAAATCTAGACATTATTCAAATGTAAGCCAAAGTCCTTACACAAATAGAATACACTCAAAGATCAAAAATATACATATCTTTCAGCCAACTTTGTTACATAAGAAAAATATATACAGCTGGTGTTTTCAAAGTACAATTATCTTAACACTGCAAACACGAATAGAAGGAACTAAAATAAAAAGAAACACTACAGCAAAGGTTAAAGGAACAACAAATTCATTTTACAACATCATCAATTATAAAGATATATATATCAAATCTTAGGGAAATACATACTTCACACTGGGATCTTAACTTTTACTTCACTTTGTTTATCTTTTTAGAATATTCTCTGGATAGGTGAAAATTTATCCATGACACCTATTACAAAAGTTACAACATGTAAAGAATTCAATAATCTATGTCTTTGTACTCTGGGATAGATGTAAAAAGAATTCGTTAAAAGTTAAATTTGTATAAGCCTATGTTAAAAATTTCCAAGTAAACCGTTCTATTGGAAATTAAATATTTCAAACTAGAAAATGTTAGGAAAAATTTCAAACACTCAAAATTTTAACACAGTAAGCAATAAAGAAAAATTATGCCAATGTTTCCTTAGATAAAGGCAACTCAACTAGGTTTATGTTTTACCCCAGAAATCCTCCTTCCTTTTCTTAGCTCGTGCCAGAGTCTGAAAAGCCCGGAGACTAGAAGCTGCAGAGCGAGCAGAAATCTCAGACAATCTGTCCTCATCTGCAATGAAAAAATCCCAAGATTATATTCAGTGTCAAAAATATCTATTAAATAAATATTATGTTTTATATAACAGAAAATTAAAAGCATCAAACTGTGTATCAATGTCAAGTCAGTCAGGAAAAAAAAAGCAATCTACTGAAATGTAAGATATTAATATTCTCCTGATACCTGACAGTAGTTTTACAGGTTTATCATGAATAGAAATCAAACCTTTTAATGTTAAAATTTAACGTTAAATTTTTTTCCTTCCTGAAATCCTGTCATTAACAAAGCACATGGCCTATGATTTCAGTATTACTTGAAAATAATTCATCATAATACCGTTTTATCCTACTTTAAAAAGCACAGCTATTCAGATCAAAAAGCTTTTCTAAACTTTTTAAAAACAAAATGCCATACCTTAACATGGTCTTTACATCACATTTCTAAAATAATCTCACTAAATGTAGAAATAATGTTTGACTTTAATATGCTACCCTTCATTAGTACTGAAATTCCTCATTCTGAGTAAGCAAGTGTTTTATAAGGTTATATATAGACACTATTCTTCCATTAGAAAGAAAACAGGACTGGATTCAAAGTTGCCAGACATTTGCATTTCAAAACATACAACTTGATTTCTAGCACAATGAATTATAACAAAAAGTCCTAAACCTGCTAAACGCAAAGTCTTTAATATATGACACAGAGTATGAAATTTAAATTTACTTCCAATTCAAAATTTATAAGTTCAATAATTCCATACTACTTAGGATGAATTAAAATAGTGATTCAATTATTCATATTGAATTCAAGTTCCTCCTGCCACTATTATAAGCAAATAAATGTCAGAATAAAAACTACAAAAGGCCAAGCGTGGTGGCTCATGTCTGTAATCCCAGCACTTTGGGAGGCCAAGGCAGGCGATCACGAGGTCAGGAGTTTGAGACCATCCTGGCCAACATGGTGAAACTCCATCTCTAGTAAAAATACAAAAATTAGCCGGGTGTGGTGACAGGTGCCTGTAATCCCAGCTACTTGGGAGGGCTGAGGCAGGAGAATTGCTTGAACCTGGGAGGCAGAGTGAGCCGAGATCGCGCCATGCACTCCAGCCTGGCGACAGAGCGAGACTCTGTCTCAAAAAAAAAAAAACAAAACAAAACTACAAAGAAGAAAAATGTCAATTTTCTCTAATCATGTATTTGTTTGACCATTGAAAATTGACAAAAATATATAAGCTTTTTTTTTTTTTTTGAGATGGAGTCTCGCTCTGTCGCCCAGGCTGGAGTGCAGCGGCGCGATCTCGGCTCATCGCAAGCTCCGCCTCCTGGGTTCACACCATTCTCCTGCCTCAGCCTCCCAAGTAGCTGGGACTACAGGCGCCCGCCACCACGCCCGGCTAATTTTTTTGTATTTTTTAGTAGAGACAGGGTTTCACCATGTTAGCCAGGATGGTCTTGATCTCCTGACCTCGTGATCTACCCGCCTCGGCCTCCCAAGGCATTTTTTTAAAAGATGGATGTAACGCTACGCCAAATTCCTGAGCCCCCAGCTAGACAAGGTGGAAAAAGAGAAAGAACACTGACCTCAGCTGTGACGCTGGGCACAATCTCTTATTATGTTTGCCCTGGAACAATATTTTACCAGTTTACTCTCAGCTTATTCATTTGTAAATGGGGGTAATTTCACCCCCTCTCCCGCACAGGGTTTCAAGGATCTAAGGAAAAATCTGTGGAAGTACTTCATAAGCTGTATCATAGACTAGAACTCAAACTTTTATGTTATGTGACTATTGAAATACCTTCATCATTAAAGGCTTCATGCTGAGGTAACTGCGAATTGTTCATCCTTGCTTTTCCCACTTAAAAAAAAAAGGCAGAAGAAATTATCCTTCAAAAGCCACTGAACAGCTTATCTCAATTATATTCTACACTGTTAGCAAAAGTAGGCTGTCAGAAATTTTATTAATTTTCAAACCTACATGTGAGTAAAGGTTGAAGAAATTACCATAAAAGGGCCATTCATAATTCATAATGCACTTAGCAAGCATGTAAACAAACTATGGATAACTTCCTAATATTCTTTCCAATGATAATATTGATCTATTCTAACTTTAAAGAAATGTAGTAGGCTTCTGATTAGAGATGGTAAATTAAATACACACATTTACAAGAACAACAAACTCATAGGACAAAGAGAATGGGAGCAAATAAGACACCAAGAAACTTTTTGGAACACGGAAAGCAAATGGAAGGGCAGTGAGTGTATGTATAACTATACCCAAGTAAGTGGAATTTTAAGCCAGCAGAAGAGTGAAACCAAGAACAACCAACTTGTTCCCCGATGGCTCTGGGTTTGGGAGTATTGAGTACCACTGAAAGTTGGAGTGAAGGGAAGACTGAACTAGGAAACTGACTAAAAATCCTTTTACAAAAATAGTTAATATGCTAGGTCCTCCTTTAAACTTGCACAGCTGGGTAGTTCCCTCTTTCTCAAAAGAGACATGGAAGATTCGTCTCTAAGAGTTTACCAGAGCTACTTTGACTGAAGAATACCAGGTTCAACTGTGGGCAGGGGTACTATAGTCAAAACAGGCATTATATGTATCATTTACCTCTTCAAAGAGATAAAACATTCATGAAATAAGAATGGGATGCTGTATAAAAGGAATATGCAATGTTTAAAAAATTCTTAGAAATTAAAAAAAGTAAAAATCTTTTTAAAAAACTAACAGATGGCACGTGGAGAGTCAAAGAGCAGACCCAGTTAACCCATCCCCTGCCTGGCTGTACCCCTCCACAGCTTAACACAAAGGACATAAACTTTGGGGAGTTTTATAACCCTGCCCAGGTGTGAGAAGCCAGGATACCTCCCCTGGGCAACATAGGGCAAGCTCAAATACCACTGCTACTACTGCAGCTGGTGCTCTTTCGCAAGCAGCACCTCCTGTTTAGAGGCCAACTGACACAGTCCATTATACCATCTCTAGGTAGAATAATGCTGTGCCCAGAATGGAGAAAACCAGGGCCTGACCTCAGCTATCACCACTGCCTCTAACACCCTAGCTAACCAGTGGTCCTGAATCCGTCTACATGACAAGTTCACTACTATTATAACCAACATGCAAAAAAGCCAGCACCCTAAGCCTATCTACAACCAAGGAATCTCAGGAGTTCCAGATCTTTCCACTGGTGGGAAGTTTCTTTCAGCAGAGACACAACTACACTGCTAGGCTCAGTAGGGAGTCTACCCCATCACCCCAACAGTCAGACAGCCTTAGTGCTCATGAAGGGTCTTGGAGAAGGGGTCTTCTTTCCCCTTGTCCACCACTGCAGACACAGCTGGGGCTTCTCCCACAGGACTCGGTATTGGGTGTGCCTATAGACAGCCTTCCTGGAACACTTTAGGGTGACTGCTCGCCTACAGGAGAAGCACTCCCCAGATGCAGGTTTGCATGAGAGGCAGAGTCACAATTCCTATCCACTTGGAACATCAACATTCCTACTGACAAAAAGAGGTGCCTGTCTGATCTGAATAGCTGGGACACTGGGACATGAATGAGGCTACGAGGTGGATAGCTTTCCTGCTGGCCTGGCAGGGAAGCTGAGGTGGCTCTCACCCTTCAGCCTGATAAGACCTCCTTGCATCTGAGTGCTCCACCAGCCACCTTCGTCAAGGCTAGGACCTGTGCCCACCAGTGGGTATTGCATTCACCCACCTGCCTTAGCTACAATAAGTTCCTACCCAGGGACACCTCCCCTAATGGCCTGAAGCCTGAACTATCAACTCAGTAAAGAAAATACTGGAGAAAAATTAAATAAATAAAGAAGTACAAACCACAGGGGAATGAGATAAGCTTCAAGAGATCTCCGCCATTCCAGCCCCACAGAAGACAGTGAACTCGCCGACACACTGAGTACACAGCTACTACAACCAGCATCTGAGGAAGCCATCATACAAAGACTCTCTATAACCAAAGAACTTATAAAGACTCTTCACCCGTAAAAGCACCAAGAACCAAATTAAACTATAACAAATTATAATCATTAAAGTCACATTCTTAAGAGGGGAAAATTTTTTTTTAAAAACACACATAGTCAAATAAAAAATAAATTTGAGGACAATTAGAATAGTGCACCCAAAAAAGGAACCAGAAAGTAATTCTAGTAATATGACAAAACAGGGTTCTGTAGTACCCTCAAAAGATCACACTGGCTCTCCAGTAATTGATTCAAACCAAGATGAAATCTTTGAAATACCAGATAACAAATTCAGAAGGCTGATTATTAAGCTACCCAAGGAGCTACCAGAGAAGGGTGAAAACCAACATAAATAAATTTTTTAAAAGTCAGGATATGAATGAAAAATTTTCCAGAGAGATATCATAAAGAAAACCCAATCAGAACATTTGAAAATGAAAAACACACTTAGAGATATACAAAATGCAGTGGAAAGTTTCAAAAATAGACTAGAACAAGTAGAAGATAGCTACATGCCAGGTCCAAGGGGGAAAAAAAGCAGAAAAAATAATTTCAGAGCTCAAAGACAGGGCTTTCAAATTAACCCAATCAAACAAAAATAAAGAAAAAAGAATCAAATGAAATGAACAAAGTCTCCAGGAAATATGGGATTATGTAAACAACCAAACTTAAGAATAAATGGTGATACTGAGGGAGAAGAAAAGGCTAAAAGTTTGGAAAATTCATTTGAGAGAATAATTGAGGACAATTTCCCTGGCCTTGCTAGAGATTTAAATATCCAAATACAAGAAGCTCAATGAACTCTTAGGAACTTCACTGCAAAAAGATCACCACCAAGGCACATATTTATCAGGTTATCTAAAGTCAACATGAAGGAAAGAATTCTAACAGTTGTGAGGCAAAAAGCATCAGGCAACTTACAAAAGAAAAACTATCAGACTAACAACAGACTTCTCAGCAGAAACCTTACAAGGCAGAAGGCATTGGGGTCCTATCTTTAGCCTCCTTAAACAGAATACCTATCAGTCAAGAATTTTGTTAGTTTAGCAAAACTAAGTTTCATAAATGAAGGAGAAATAAAGTATTTTTCAGACAAACAAATGCTGAGGAAATTGTCACTACCAGACCAGCACTACAAGAAATGCTAAGCAGGAGTTCTAAATTTTGAAACAAAAGCTTGACATGCAACAAAACAGAACCTCCTGAAAGCTTAAAACTCACAGGGCCTATAAAACAATACAACGGAAAAAACAAAGTATCTAAGTAACAACTAACATAGTGAATAGAACAGTACCTCACATCTCAGTATTAACATGAACGTAAATGGCCTAAATGCTCCACTTAAAAGATATGGAATGGCAGAATGGATTAAAAAGCACAAACCAAATATCTAACGCACAAAGATTCATATAAACTCAAGGTAAAGGGGTAGGAAAAGATATTCCATGCAAATGGAAACCAAAAGCAAGCAAGAGTCTTATATCAGGCAAAACAGACTTTAAAGCAACAACTATCTAAAAAAAGACAAAGGTCATCATATAACGATAAAAAGGTCAATCCTATAAGAAGATATTACAGTCAGTCCTAAATTTATATGCACCTAACACTGAAGTTCCCACATTCATAAAACAATTACTACTAGACCTAAGAAATGAAGTAGACAGCAACATAATAATAGAGAGGGACTTCAATACTCCACTGACAGCACTAGACAGATCATTAAGACAGAAAGTCAACAAAGAAACAATGGACTTAAATAGTGTAGAACAAATGGACTTAACAGATATTTACAAAACATTCTACCCAACAATTGTAGAATATACATTCTTCTCATCATTTCACATGGAACATTTTCCAAAATAGACCACATGACAGGCCACAAAACAAGCCTCAATAAATTTAAGAAAATCATACCAACTATCTTCTCAGACCATAGTGGAATGAAACTAGAAATCAACTCCAAAAGGAACCCTCAAAACTATACAAATACATGGAAATTAAATAATCTGCTCTTGAATGATTTGGGGGTTAACAATGAAATCAAGATGGAAATTCAAAAATTCTTTGAAATGAATAACAGTGACACAAGTTATCAAAACCTCTGGGATACAGCAAAAGCAATGCTAAGTGGAAAGTTTATAGCATTAAATGCCTACCTTAAAAAGTCTGAAAGAGCACAAACTGACAACCTAGTATCACACCTCAAGGAACTAGAGAAACAGGAACAAACACCATGAAATACTAATCCACCATTAAAAGGAATGGAATAATGTCTTTTGCAGCAATTAAGATGGAGGTGGAGGTCATTATTCTAAATGAAGTAACTCAGGAATGAAAAACTAAATACTGCATGTTCTCACTTATAAGTGGGAGCTAAGCTATAAGGACACAAAGACATAGAAAGTGATATAACAGACTGTGGGGACTTGGGGTGGGGGGAGGGATAAAAGTCTACATATTGGGTACAGTGTACACTGCTTGGGTAACAGTTGCATTAAAATCCAGAATTCACCACTACAGAATACATCCATGTAACCAAAACTACCTGTACCCCAAAAGCAATTGAAATAAAAATTTTTTAAAGCAGAAAAGATAGAAGATAAAAATTAGTAACCTTTCAAATTTAAAGACAGAGATGGAAAATAGGAGAGGTAAGATAAAAAATAAAATCATGTCCAATATCTGAATAGGAGCCCTAGAAAGAGGAAACAGAGAAAAGAGAATTTTTTTTTTTTTTTTTTTTTTGCTTCCCAGACTTAAGCAATTCTCATGCCTCAGCCTCCCAAGGAGCTGGAATTACAGGCATGCACCATGACACCCAGCTAATTTTTTTGTAGTAGAGACAGGGTTTCATCATGTGGCCCAGGCTGGTCTTAAATTCCTGGCCTCAAGTGATCTGCCTGCCTTGGCTTCCCAAAGCGCTGGGATTACAAACGTTAGCCACTGTGTCTGGCCAGGAGAGGAAATTTTTGACTGAATAATTCAAGAAAATGTTCCAGAAGTAAGAATTTTCCAGATTGAAAGGTCTATGGAGTACCAGAAAAATGATTTAAAAAAAAATACTCTCTCAGAGGCACATCACAAAATTTCAGAACATTAGATATGAAGAGAAGATCTCAAAAGCTGCCAGAAAGAAAACACCACATATAGAAAATCTGGAATAAAAGCAGCATCTGACTTCTTAACATTAACGATGACAGCTAGAAAAGAGCTGAGCAATGCCTACTAAAACTGAAGGAAAGTCATTTCTGACCGTGAATTCTACACCCAGGCAACATTTGGCAATGTCTGGAGACATTTTTGGTTGTCACATCCAGAGAAGAGGTGCTACTGGCATCTATCTAGTGGATTCCCTCTGTGTATGAATAAGAACTTGAGAGATATCTCACACATATACAACAGCAAAAAGTGAACTTAGGTGCAGCACAATTGGTCCCAAAGAGGGATTTTTCCTATTTAAAGAAATCTTATTAATACATTAACCAAAAATACTAAATAACTGATTTATTAATATAAATGCATTCTTAGCCTTTGTACCTATCAGTATAACATTTTATTTTAAAAGACAAAAAATTGAAACCAAAATAATTACCATTGTGCTGAAACTCTGGATCTCTAAGAGAGCCCTGAATTCGACGAGAGGGATGCCAGTAGGATGGAACATGCGGTGGAGAAGGCGACTGTCCAGGGGGATTTGTTGGGTATTCTGGAATTTTTGAAACTGGAAGAGTTGCCTCAGTAAATCTGGGGATATTGTCTTCGGAATCTTCCCGCAAAGGCAGAGGATCAACTGTTTTTATACCAGCAGCTGGAGAAGTCAGTAGGGATACAGCACGACTTTCTTTCTAAACGACAAAAAAGAAAAAAAAAAAGATGCCTATGTGTAGATATGTAAATAAATAAGCCAAACATTTAAATGCAAAAAAATATAACCAAAAAGCAGAAGGAAAAATAAGAGAGAATTTATGCAACCTCTATATGGGGAAAATATGATACAGACGAACAGACTTGGCTATATAAACAAAATACGTAGACGTTTTATAAATTAAAAGAAAAACGCAGAACTTGGAAAAATATACAACTTTTATGATTGACAATGAATTATCATTGCTACATAAGTATTTCTTTAAAAGCAGCAAGAAAAATATAAACCCAATTAAAAGTAGAAAAAGGGTATGAATAAGCAATTCATATACTGTACACACAAATCACAAACAACAAAACGTATTCTACCTTACTAAATATCAACTATGAAATGAAAGCATTCAGATATTAATTTTTCACGTACCAAATTTCAAAAATTAATTTTTAAAAGAACAATGATACCAGAGCTGACAAGGATGTAGAGAAATTGGCAATCTCATAGACTGCTATTGGGAGTACAATCTTTCTGGGGGGACTGGCAAAACATAGCAGAAGCCTTACAATTTTGTGTTCTTTGACTACACAATAATACTTGGGGAGTAGTCACAAACACAAAATAATATAAAGAAAAATGTAGCTATGGATGGATTTCTTTACAGTATTTCTTCAAACAGATTAAGAAATAACAATAGAAATCTGAATAAAAATTAGATTTTAACAATAAGCATCCGGTTTTTAAAAACTATGGTGTAACTATAGATTGCACATCTCCATAAAAATAAGATTATGAATATTTCATGATGTGAAAATATGTTCACAACAGCACTAAAAATAGATTATAAAACCTTTCTACAGTATGATAAATAAATAACCAAATATTCTAACACATATATACCTAAATACCTCAAAAATTTAACAGTGGATGTCCCTGAACAGTACATTGAGATACTTACCTACTTTTTTAGTTTGGTCAGTATTTGCTGTTTTCCACAATGACTATGTATCACTGTCCTAAAAGTCACTAACAATTTTACTTTTAAAAAAAAGGCAGCCAGCTGGACACAATGGCTCACACCTGTAATCCTAGCAATTTGGGAGGCCAAGGTGGGAGGATCATTTCAGGCCAGGAGTTCAAGATCAGCCTGGCCAACAGGGTGAAACCCATCTCTACTAAGAATACAAAAATTAGCCAGGTGTGGTGGTGCACACCTGTAATCCCAGATACTTGGGTGGCTGAGGCACAAGAATTGCTTGAGCTGGTGAGGCAGAGATTGCAGTGAGCCATGATCGCATCACTGTATTAAACAGAGAGAGACTGTCTCAAAAACTAAAAATAAAAATAGTCCAGATGCAGTGGTTCATGCCTGTAATCCTAGCACTTTGGGAGGCCGAGATGGGAGGATCACTTTAGGCCAGGAGTTTAAGACAAGCCTGGTTAACATAGCAAGACCCCATCTCTATTTATTTAAAAAAAAAAAAAAAAAAAAAAAAATTAAATTAAATTAAAAGCAAAAGAAGGCAAACCAGTAAAATCAAATACAGTTCCAAACTTTCCTGATTATTTCTTGTAATTGTTGCCTTCACTTATTATCTTTGATTCTATCAATGTAACATTCAAAACATTGCTTTCTAAACTTAGATATCGTTGTCTGTGATTGTAGAGCTTATTGCTTCAAAGTGGCCTAGGGGCTGCTGGTCTCAACTAATAAACATTTCAAATCAATATCTAGGATAAAACCACAAATCTTCCACTTGCTTTCTTTTTCAAACAAGTATCACTTAGGACAATACAAATAATTCCAAAGAGAAATTATTCTTTTTTTTTTCCTTTTTCTATATATATGAACAAAATTTGTGATCTTTGTCAAATTGGTTTTACGATTGCTGAAAATACCTGAAAGAAACCTGTAAAATAAAAGACATGGGGTTCCCAGGTTTAACATAACTGATTCTGTGATCTGTTTTTGAGCCTAAAGCCTCACAAGGCCAATAGGTCTCACGGCGGTACTCAGCCCTGTGTACGGCAGTTCTCCACTGAGGAGCCACAGTGATTGGATTTACCCTGTGAAACATATCCTATTTGCTTTGTTGCTTCTGATATTCCAGAGGTTTCCCAGTGACATTAGAGTAACATCCAAGAGAATAAACCCCACTTGATAGTGATGAATTATCTTTTTGATGTGCTGCTGGATTCAGTTTGATTGGATTTTGTTGAGGATTTTTGTGTCTACGTTCATCAGGAATATTGGTCTAGTTTTCTTTTTTTGTTGTTGTTGTGGCCTTGCCAGATTTTGTTATCAAGATGATACTGGTTTCATAGAATGTGTTAAGGAGAAATCCTTTCTCCTTGATTTTGGGGAATAGTTTTAGCACATAAACAGAATTAAAAACAAAAACCATATGATCATCTCAATACATGAGGAAAAAGCATTTGACAAAGTCCAATATCCCTTCATGATAAAAATCCTCAACAAACTAGGCAATGAAGGAACATACCTCTCAAAATAATAAGAGCCATCTATGACAAACCCACAGCCAGTATCATACTAAATAGGCAAAAGCTGGAAGCATCCCCCCTAAGAAGAAGACAAGGATGCCCACTCTCACCACCTCTACTCAACATAGTACTGAAAGTCCTACCCAGAGCAATCGGGCAATAAAAAGAAACAAAAGGCATCTAAATAGAAAAAGAGGAAGTCAAATTATCTCTGTTCACTCATGATATGATTCTAAACCTAAAAAACCCTAACAATCCCTCCAAAAGACCTGATAAATGACTTCAGTAAAGTTGCAGGATACAAAAATTAACGTGCAAAAATCAGTAGCATTTCTACACACCAATAATTCAAGCTGAGAACAAAATCAAGGATACAGTCCTGCTACAATGGCCCCCCAAAAATAAAGTACCTAGGAACACAGCTAACCAAGGAGGTTATCTCCTTGAGTTCATCTCCACATGAACTACAAAACATTGCAGAATGAAATTATAGATGACATAAACAAATGGATAAGCGTTCCATGCTCATGGATTGGAAGAATCGATATTGTTAAAATTGCCACACTATCCCAAAGTAACTTACAGATTCAATGCAATTCCTATCAAATTACCAATGTCATTTTTCACAGAATTAGAGAAAGCAGTTCTAAAATTCATATGGAAGCAAAAAAAAGGGCCCAAAGCAATCCTAAGAGAAAAAAAAAAAAAAAACAAAAACCAAAGCTGGAGGCATTACATTACTTGACTTCAAACTATACTATAAGGTTACAGTAACCAAAACATCACAGTACTGGTAAACAAACAGACACATAGACTAATGGAACAGAAAAGAGAACTCAGAAATAAAGCTATACACCTACAGCTATCTGATCTTTAACAAAGATGACCAAAAAAATGAACAATGGAAAAAGGACACCCTATTCAATAAATGGTGCTGGGAAAACTGGCTGGCTGTATGTAGAAGAATGAAATTGGACCCCTACCTCTCACCATATATAAAAATTAACTCAAGATGGATTAAAGACTTAAATGTAAGACCTCAAAGTACAAAAATCCTAGAAGAAACCCTAGAAAAATCTCTTCTGGACATTGGCTAAGGCAAGGAATTTATGACTAAGTACTCAAAAACAAATGTAACAAAAACAAATTGGCAATTGGGACTTAATTAAACCACAGAGCATTTGCACAGCAAAAGAAACTATCAACAGAGTAAACAGACATCTTACAGAATGGGAGAAAATAAGTGCAAACTACATATCTGACAAAGGACTAATATCCAGAATCTATACGGAATTTAACAAGAAAAAAACAACTCCATTAAAAAGTGGGCAAAGGACATGAACAGACACTTCTTAAGACAAAGCAGCCAACAAACATGAAAAAATGCTCAACATCACTAATCACCAGAGAGTTGTAAATCAAAACCATAATGAGATATCACCTCACACCAGTCAGAATGGTTATTATCAAAAAGTCAAAAAACAACAGATGTTGGCAAGGCTGCAGAGAAAAGGAAATGCAACCCCTGTGGAAAGCAATATGAAAATTTCTCAAACAACTAAAACTAGGACTACCATTCAACCCAGCAATCTCACTACTGGGTATCTACCCAAAGGAAATCATTCTGTGAAAAAGATCTGCACTTATAGGTTTATTCCAGCACTATTCACATTAGCAAACTCATGGAATCAGCCTAGGTGCCCATCAACAGTGGATTGGGTAAAGAAAATGTGGTACATATACACACCATAGAATACTGTGCAGCCATAAAAAAGAATGAAATCATGTCCACTGCAACAACCTGGATGCAGCTGGAGGCCATTATTCTAAGTGAATTAACACAGAAACATAAAGTCAAATACTAAACATTCTAATTTGTAAGTGGGAGCTAAACAATAGGTACACACAACATAAAGATGGAAACAGACACTAGGAACTACAAAAGGGGGAAGAGAGGGAAGGGTGCAAGGGCTGAATACCTACCTATTGGGTACAAGGTTCACTATTTGGGTGATGGGTTCAATACAGCCCAAACCCCAGCATTATACAATATATCAATGTAACAAACCTGCACATGAACCCTCTGAATCTAAACTAAAATTCAGGCTGGGCACAGTGGCTCAAGCCTGTAATCCTACCACTTTGGGAGGCCAAGAAGGGAGGACTGCTTGAGCCCGGGAGTTTGAGAACAGTGTGACAACACAGTGAGACCCCAAGTCTACAAAAACTTTTTTTCAAAAATTAGCCAGGCATAGTGGCACATATCTGTGGTCCCAGCTACTCAGGAGGCTGAGGTGCGAGGATTGCCTAAGCCCAGGAAGTTGAGGCTACAATGAGCAATGATCGCACCACTGCACTCTGGCCTGGGCAACACAGCAAGACCTTGTCTCCAAAAGCAAAAAATGGGCCAGATGTGGTGGCTGTAACCTGTAATCCCAGCATTCTGGGAGGCCAAGGCAGGTGGATCACTTGAGGCCAGGAGTT